AAAGTACGGAAATTCCAATAGCAAATAAAACACAACACAGAAAAAAAATAAGGTCGAATTCTCAGACGCTGATATGAAAACAAAGTTATTAACATTTGTGTGATTATTGATGCTAATGTCTTGCAAACTAGTCTCATAATGTATGAAGTACTTCAATCTTAATACAATGACATCTTTTTAATTTGAAATTGCACAATTTCCTGGCAACATTATTTGCCAACAGTTGGTTAAACTGTATAGATTTACGAATTGCAAAATTTTATAAATTTTCACAGTATTATTTAAACACAACTTTACAAAATTATTGCACAAGGATGATAAATTATTCAAAAGCAAAATGCAACTATTTTGCTTTTTCCGTTTTTTTCCCCGCAATAAAGTGCCGTGGTACGTGGTAAATTTATATTTTTTATGCCTACGAGGCGGGTATATCTTTGAAAATTTTTGGTGAATTTTTATTCAGTATTAAAAATATTCAAGAATTACAAGCATTTATAAAATATTAATTTATAAGGTATTTCTCCCGCCTTCCTAGCATGCCTTCGTGGTGTGGTGGTCTGCCCGCTGGGCGCGTATTCCAGAGGTCCGTGGTTCGATTCCCGGCGAAGGCGTTGCTCGTTTTTTACTTCTCCAGCTTTAAAATTACCTAATGGTTTGAGTACGTAGAACATGATATTTAATAAATAAAGGTAACACATAAAACATTAAAAAACACCTTTTAGGACGTAATTTAAAATGTAAAACATTTCAGGTGTTTTCAAAAAATTTTTGAAAATTAATTTGATATATTTGGAAAATTGATAGCATATCCATTTAAACATGTTTCCGTTCCTTCTTCATTTACAACAATAATTACAATGAAGAAAATTCTACAAATTTAGCATGTGTTTAAAATGCTTACACCTGCCTTACGAAGGGAACGACATAAAACAAGCAGCAAAACAAATTGCTGATTTTTGCTTTAAAGGAAAAAGGAAAAAAAAAAAGCACATTTTTTTTGGTCACAGATGAAAACATATTTTTGCTTATATTTCGCAAAGCTGAAAAAGAATAATCGGATATCGTTCCAAGACAAAAATCAAACAGAATATTCTTTACCCAGAACAAAACAAATCCAATCACTATGTAAAGAATAATCAATTGTTTAGAGAATAAAGGGTGATGACTAGTACTGGCGAATGAAGTCTGCATTTTTTACCTAAATGAGACTAATTTATTAACTTGCTTTCAAAAAGCTATCGCTTTACTCATGTCTATGTTGAATGATGAAAACAATGTCGCTTTTCTTTCGTAGCATCACTTTTATAGCCCAACGTCATCAAATAGCGGCACCTCTCATTTACATGCCAACAGCGAGAGATATTTAGGGTAAGTTATTGAGCTTTCCTGACGGTGTCAGAAATGGAAAAAAGCTTCGATTTTCGATTAATTACATTGGTGGGCCATGGAAAAATTACTGTTATGACGGTAACTACAATTTATTGATGTAGCATAGGTTACGTGCCCACGCAGCGAAGAAAAACGAAACATAATAATATATATTACTCGGTAAATTAGGATAAAACAAGAAAGTGGGGTTCTCGAAACAAATGAGTTGGATTTTAACAATTTTCAATATAATCTGATTGTTATTATCGTATTCAACCGAATAAGACAGCTTTTTTACTCTGAAATGTTCTTTCAGAAACAACAATGTTCTCATATAAGCCTTAAAATTTACCACAGACTCGTTCACTAAGCGCTCTTAAAATTTACGTTAAAAGAAAGATGCTTAAGTACAAGTACTGTTGTGCCTTCAACTATGCGATTACACCCCAACGCTGCACAATCGTAGAGGAGCTTAACATGAGTATTGCAGCGTTTGTTGGCGGTATATTTTTACTAGAATTTTTTTATCAACATTATGGTGATATTATACTCGAGATAACGAATAATTTTAAAACAGTTTAAAATTTCAAAGCAAATTATTATAATTAATTGTTTTTACATGCCTTAGGCTTGTAAAAACTGCAGTCAACGTTTTCATTTTTGTTCTCAGCTGTCCTTACCAGCGTTACTCTCAGTTCACAATTTGCACTTGAAACCACGCCACATAATCTTCTCTCTACACACATGTTTAACACGCACTAAGCAGGAACTAGTACTAAGTATTAACTATCAATTCATGTATTAGTTTTGAATTTGTGATATTGCCATACTTCTATACTATCATCCATCGCCTAGGCGGCGATTCTTATTTTCGCCCAAAATGTTTTAGAAATGGCGTGCAACTTATACTTCCATGCAGCCTATACACGGTAAATGTAATTACTAAATTTACAAGCGCTTAGTGCGTTCATCTAAGAAAGGTCAAGGTTTAGGTTCTAAGTAATATTTATTTTACTTTACGTCTACCATTTACAAAAAATAACCCTTGAAGCGTATTTGGTAAAGAAAGACACCGCAGAAATTCTCAGTTTGAGTCCTGCTGCCCGTAAGCATATTTCACAAGTGCACATCAGCGTAGCCACTGAGGGAGGGGTTTCGAAAAAGGACCAATGAGCTGCTATTGCTCTTGTGACGCTAAATCTTCGTGCATGTGAGCGTATGTTGATTACGTTTTAATTTGCATTTGTTTCGCAGTTATAAATATATGGCGTAATAGTAGAAAATCTCAACTTCAAAGGCAGCTGTGGCAACACTGCAGGGAATAAAACATTTTTATCTCCAGTGTGCGAGACTGTCTATCGAAAATTCTAAAGATACACTGTTTTTAAATATTTTTAGTCCAAACAGGCGTTAGCCCAAATACACTAGAAACGCGTATGTGTGTGTAAAGGAAAAAAAAAAAAAACGCCCCCTTTGGGCGTAATATAAAATCTGAAAGCTTGTAACTTCTTAAGATAACTTTCAGATGCTCTTTTCAAATGTTTGTATGCAAGTTTTGGCAAAATCAGTCTCTGTGCTTCTCTTCTAACTTTTTCTTTAATACGTGATAATTTTATAATTTAATTATTTTGCAAGAGAATACTTTTAATATGTTAAGCCCATATAGTAAAGTTGTAGAAAATTACGCTTACCGAAAAAACTAAAACAGCAGGCTTGTTTAATATGTGTGTCAATCATATAATTGGGCAACATGCTTTACTATAATCAAAAATACTTACTTAAGAGGATGTCGTAGACAGAACGTAATGAATGCAAATTAAAATTTGATCCGTTAATTTATCTGCCGTGTAAATGCATTAATAATAAGGGGCACGAGAAAAATATTTTTCTTCTAGGAAAACCTACAGCTAAAAAAACTGAATTTAGTTTTAAAAAATGGATTTTAAACTTCAACAACAACTAAGGGAAAATATCGCAAGCATTTATGTAATTATAACCTAAATTAGTGCATATGATTTAGGTTTTATTCCTCCGAATATGTATTTTTCGTTTTTTAGCCCAAAGCGCGTTAGCCCAGAAGGGCTATTAATTTTATTTTGGCATTTTGCGTCGATCCACTTTCTGCGTTGATTGACTTTTCAAACTGTTGCCATCAAATGTTAGTGCCCTGTATTATATTTAAAGAAATTAAATAATGACGAATCCGCATCTCGCATAGTGATAAAACAACGATACCTAGAGCCATCCAATTTTCAATAATGTAACCCATTACGAAATATGGACATCTGAAAGCCCAAATATGGAATTTGTTTCATTATATATTTCATATTTTGTCAGATATTAAAGAATGTTTTATTAACAAAGTCAACGATTTCAAAGCGAGCAATGGCAACACTGTACGGAAAAAAATATTTTTATCTCCAGCGTGCGACACTGTGTATCAGAAATTCTATATGTATGCTTATTTTAAAATTATTTTGTGATATTCCTGTTGAATTGAATTTTATGGTTTAGGTGTGAAGAACATGATATTTAATGAATAAAGGTAACACACAAAATGTTTAAAAAACGACCCTTTGGGACGTAATGTAAAATCTGAAATTTATTTTATTTTAAATTAAGAACTTTAGTAATGAATGGTACTGTAAATAAAAGAATAAATATCGCGCTATTAGAGAATGAACTTTATTATTTGTGGCAACGGAAATCTGCCTGGAAAAAAAAAAAAAAAAAAACCTATAATGTCACCTAGTTGGAATGAAATCCTAAGTTTCGAAGAAAAAGATGCGCTTTGTATCTCGCCATCTGAGGGATCCTCGCTCGTCCGTATGTTCCACGTGCAGAAAAATACGACGCGAAAGAAACCACTCCACGATGCTGGGGGCTTAGGCAGAAAATATTTTCGGGAGGGAATATGATGCTTTTTCAGGGAAAGACTATGGCGTGTTTTGTTTGCAGTTTCACTAACGGTTGAATACAGAGTTTTCTGGAAAGATTTTAAACCATATCTGTTCTACTTAGGCTGAAAAAATAACTATGTCCACAGTTGGGTGTCCTTATTTAAATAATACATTAATTCTGTCTCGGATTCGACTATCGGATAAAAGCGCTGGCAGAGCGAAATTATCGTAACTTTTTTGTTACATTTTCTACAATTGGCAAACCGCCCTCAAATGTTTCAGTTCAGCTCAGCTCAGAGATTTCGTTTTGTATTTGATAACCGAACAAAATAATACATAATAGACTTCACTTGTTACAAGCCACGGAATAAAGAACTATTAAATTAAATATTTTATTGCACAAAAAGGTATTAAAATAGCATCTAATTAAAATAAATACAATATTACAGCATTTACAATTCCAAATTAGTACGTTTCATGAAAAATAAGATTTATTTCATGTTATTATTACTGTTGCCAAGCAGAGTATTAGAATCAAAGCCGTCAATGAAATTTTAAATAATTACTGCGATCCCGTCTCCAAAATAGTAAGAAATAAATGGGGAAATAAAGTGCAAGTGTTAAAAAAGATAAAAATAAACTTTATCCAGGGAAGTTTGTGAATAAAGAAAGAGGAAGAATAAGAAAAAAGTTGAAATTTCGGACAGGGGTAAGAAATTGATCAATACACACCAGAGTCCCATGGTGTTCGGTACGATTCGAGTAGGGCATCACAGCTCCGGAGAGTATGGCACATTTCAGAGTCAAACATGTCTAAAATAATAACCGAAGCTCTGGTTTTATGTTTACGTAAAATATATGGATACATCACATTTTTATTAAAAACAATTATAAGAAAAAGATGAAAACATTTTGAAAACATGTTTTTAAAATTAAACGAATGTTTATTTAGCAGTGGCGGCTTTTTTTTCCTTAGCACATGTCTTATTAATATTTTGATTTCATTATGATCTCTCAGCTTTTCTTTAAAAATGATGAATTCACATCAATATATTTTCTCCGGAAATAAAAAGTAAATAATCATCTCAAAAGTTAAGTTTAGATTTTCATTGAATGCACATTCGAACTTTGTTTTTCTTTGCGTAATGTCTACGTTTTCGAACTTCGTTTTTCTTTGAGTAGTATACCGTTACTTGGATGCGTTTCTAAATATTCCGATGCATAAAAAAATGAAACAGAAAAAGCTTATGTTAAATGTTTTTTATTAATCTTAAAATATTATTTCCTTCAATATTATCAAGAATTCTTAAAACTTTTAGCAGCAGTAACTGATACTTTACTTGTAGAAATTAGCTGCATATTTTACTAAAATTTGTAACTACCTTAAAACATATTCGAATGCTAAGGTCAGTTTTGTCAAAACAAATCTAATATTACTTGAAAAGTCTAAATTCAGATGAATGATCTCATATCAATTTTTAACGAAATTTTCATCGCGATTTTAAAAATAGAAAATATAAATTTTCAGAATGACTAGTAGGTTTTATTAAATTGCTAATACGAACAATAATATTGGGATCATTAACTTTCATTTCAGACAAAAAGTATTTATACCGTTGTCTGTAATGTTACACAATATTGAAAAGTGAATTTTGCAGTAAATAATTTGAATTAATTAAGACATATAAAATAAAAATTTGTGGACTATTTTGAAATATTAGAAACACTAATAAATATGCACTAATCACTAAATTAAAATGAAAATAACGTTTGTAATTATATTATACTACAGGAAACAAAATCTTTGGAATAAAGTTGCAGTCAAAAGAACATGTAAGGTTAAAAAAAAGGGCACCATTTTTAATTTTGTTTGTTTGCTTTTTTTTTTTTTTTTTAATATCAACTAAGGTAAAGAACACGAGGACTGTTTTTAATTCTGAACGGTGAGTACGGTTTACTTGAAGCAACTGCAATTTCAAAGAAATTTCCACCATTATCATTTCGTTCATTTTCTCCTCCCTTCGACCATTATCGTTTAGTTGATTTTCTCTTTCCCTTCCTCTTCTGTGGTATCAAAATAATCAATTACGAAAATAAATGACATGTAAATCATGAATTATTATGAAAAGCTGAGAACAATAATATTTCTGATATCACATTTTGGCATCATCTGAAAACATAATTTTAAAGTAATTTCAAATTTTACATAGTAGTAGTTTAGGAAAAATATTATTCTTTATATCATAATAGACAGTGGATTTGAATTTAAGAGACACATTTTTGTATTCAATTATATACTTTTAAAGATGACTGCCACGCCACTGCTATTGTGTAAGTCATCTTCTGTTTATTAAAAAAGTAACATATGAATGGCAGATGAGAATGTAACTGTCTTGTAAAAATAAAGATGTAAGAATATTAAAAACACTTGAAGCAATTAAAAATACATTTAAAATTACACATTTTCAAACGGAAATTATAGGTAACTTAAGACCATTGGAAAAAGAGTAACTGAGAGATACATATGTAAAAGTAAGTTCCAGAAAGCACGGAGTCAGATCAGTTTTAGACTATCGCTATCTATACATTAAAAGAATACCTGCAAAATTTCGTGTTAATACATTATAATATATTTTTTCACTATCGAAAATATAGTTCTTTAATTACAATTTATTTGGTTTTAAAAACTAATAACATTTCCTTCATGTTTCTCAATTAGAAACGAAAACGAAAATAGCAAACACAATAGAATTCATGGGACATAAAAAGAAAAAGGATTAGGAAGCTAAGTATACAGGAATATTACTTTAAGTCAACAGTATTTAAAATTGCTAATAATTAATGTAAAATTTCGATTTCAAACGAAATCCATAATCTTAAAATGTTATTTTATTATTCAAACACACTTATTTCATAAAAGCACCAACGCCTTCAAAATGTCAAAGTTAACGAATTAGTGTTGTTTATTTCTTCACATCACCTACGCATAATGCGTAGGTTGCTTAGTTGACAAAATTATCAAACCCACAAGAAACATAAAATTCACTTCTAAGTTAGTATATCTAAATTTTTCATGATCTAAATTTGCACGGTATCTAAATTTTTAGTCACACAATTTTTCGGAATGTTTAGGAATAAAAAGAATACTTCTTAAAAAATAAAAAATAAAAAAAATAAAAATAAAAAACAGACGAAGCAAACATTACTAGGAAAACGTTCTTTTACTTTCCATCCCTTCAGCTGCAGAAATGGTTCCTCCCTACAGCTGGAATAGTGCGAGAGATGTGAAGTGGTTGGGGAAAGAAAAAAAAATATGAAAAAGTGCCGGAATATGCTATAAAAATAATAAAAATAATAAAAAAAAATGCTGGCTCGTGTCTCGTAGCAATTGAAACGAATTGCATAAACGTTCGTTGAACTACAAATACTCGCATCAAAAATTTCAGAGTCGAGAGGACATAATGATACGCAAAATTAGGTCGTATTCTCGTAATTTTTTGTTACTCGTTACTATTACAAATTGGGTGTAATAACAGTTCTCATTCATTGCAAAACTTAACGGAACCTTTTGGACGTTCTTAAATAAAGCATACTTACGAGAATTATCCAGGCTGAGAGACATGAAGCCTACACAAACCCTCTCGCCCTGCCCGTGTTAGTATATGTACATGCTATCACACACTTTAGAACATTACGGTTATATCATCGTTCTTTTAAATCCTTTTCCATTAAATGTTTAACAAAACTGTTTCAAAATGTATTCGTATGCAGATATTTAGCAAATGAATTTTTTTCTCATAACTTTGAATAGCAAAATGCTGAACCGATATAATGATTTGTGATCGAATTCTGACAGAAATCAATAAACAAAACTTAACATAAACACATGATCTATTTTTCATAATTCTTCTAATGGCATTTAAAATAATGTACGAAATAAAAAAGCAATAAATTCTTCCGCAATTCACATGCGAAGGATAGCATCGAAAGCCAGATCTCGAATTAAAAAAAAAAGGTAAGTAATAGATTCGAAGCGCAACTGAAATGCCATTTCATGCGTGAAGGCTATGGAATAATCAAAACTATCACGCAGGGTCAGTCAAATCACGCGCTCCATTTTCTTTTTCTAAAGCCGGATATCACCTTTCCGACAAAGGGCATGGGCACCGGACATTATCCTCGGCCACGCGACCTTAGGGTTGCCGATCTTAAGTGATATTGCCAAGAGAACGTGGATCGAACTCCATGGTTGAAAAGGAAACAATGGCGGAGAAAGACGTAGCTTTATTTATTTTCCACGCCTCGATATTAGCTTCTTAATCAGCTGGTTTATTATACGTTGCTCTTGCTCCACATTCGTAAAACGGCCTAAGCAGCATCTCGAATTGGTTTCCTATTAAGTACCAGAAAGCGATTCAAATGTCAGGATTTAGTATCTTGTTGATATATATACGCTAATGTAATGTAATATAAGAGTGTGCTGCAGCCCTCCTGACCGATAATAACCGGCATCATGGTTAACGCAGCACACCCAACACAGATTAAAACAAAACTACAGTTAAAAAAGTGAAAATAAAATTCCCAGTCCCCTGTTGCCATTTATAAAGTTCATCAAATCCTTTGCAAATCTAAACTCTTCTCTACGGCATTAGAATTCCTTCATGTTACCATATTTTTACATATATGTAGGTATGGCAACTTAAATTGGATTATATTGACATAATCAGCGGTGAACGGAATTTTAGAACCTATCCTGTGATACTTTTTCAGCGTAAGATACCTTTCGGAACGTTCCATGTGCGCTTCAAGGGAGCAAAGCGTGCAAACACATACGAAAATACCAAAAACTGCAATTGCATTTCTTGTCTGTGTTCAACAAATTTCAAATTGTTCAAAAATTTGTATCTTCAGGACAACCGACTGAACCAATCAGTAATGGATAAAACACTATAGCTTTGTTCAGGCAATGCTATCATAAATAACAGGGCAAAAGTTGATTATAGGACCAATTATACAGAGCTTTATCAATTTAACATGGTGCCTTTTAAAATGAAAAAGAACTAGCTTATATATAAGAAACTGTCGGGGGAAAAACGAAAAAAATATTCGAACTGTTTTACTTACCATTAATGGATAGTCTAATAACAGCAATTAAAGAAGACAACGCATATTAGTCGCAGCAGATATTTTAATGATTTAAAGGCATTAAAATATAACGAAAAATTACGAAAATCTGAGACAGATAATTTATTCTCTGTATGAAATTAGGCACTGGAATGCATGTTACACGTTTCTGATGATTTTAACAGCGCAGCTTCGATAATTAAAGCTACAAATTTTCAAATCTACGACACTGTATATTGTTATTGTTGTTGTAATTTCGCTAATCTGATATCAGAGCAAGCCTGCGAAATTCATCGTGGCAAGGAGACAAGATTGTGCTTGTCGTTGGCAACAGCCTTGGGCACCATACAGGTGACAGTACGATTTTGCTCAATTCTACCCTCCCCCCCGTTTTGAAGGACAGCATGCCGGGGGGACAGTGTGTGCATAAAAATGTATTTAATTTTTTAAATATTAAGATTATGCTGAAAGGAATAGATGTTCATATAACTACTATGAAAAAGGTCTTTTACAAAAGAACAAATTTTCAAATGCATTTATTTGAAAAAAACGAATTATCCGATTTGTGGTTTTGATTCGATGCCGGTAACGTTAAATTTGCTGAAAATCTATTGCACCATATGCAAAAGGTTAATAATAAAGTAATCAATAAGCAAAAGGTATACAGTGAAATATATCCTGTGACAGTA